TCTTCAAACCATGTAGCCATAAATAGTGCTTACATACATCCAAGATTGAATTAACGCATGATACCAAAAAAATTCGAAACACTAAGCAAGTTTTATCGGATAAATACAACGTTTACAGAAATTTTTGAAACACAATTGCTGGAAAATTAACCGAATGTAAAAGATAGATTCTTAACCTAACATAGTATATTGGCATCAATTTTTCGATCATACAGTCAAAGACAAATCGAACTCGAGTTTACTGAATGCAAATCTTCTTGCTTATTGAGTACTTCAAAAAATTATGAATACGTTTGAAAAAATCTATGACTTTTACACTGTTTGAATTCTGAAAATCTTCTTTATGATAGTTTTTGGATAAAATCAACCCAAAGCTGGATCAATCGGTAGAGTTTCATCCCGCTAAAAACTATTAACTTGAATCCTTCTTTGATACTAAAAGTCAATCTGTTTTCCTTACTGCAGATTTGGTAACCCAAAAGATTTTCGCAAGATTGCAGACTTATTTGCACCCAATTTTATTCAAACAAAATAGGAAAAAAGTTTCAGAGAAAATCAAACCGAAAAGTATCGAGTTTTCATTGGCATAAAATAAGATAAACATCTAGTACAGTTTGCTTATGGCCGATACAAAAACCAACTGGTCGTAAAAAATTTATGCAACGAGCATATAGAAATTTAACTTGCCTTTCTTTTCGTTAGTTACCAAGACAAAGAGCGCTGAACACAACGATTACAAAATATCAACATTTTTAGAAATTGGTGATAAATAGCTGGAATTTCACCGAATGTTAACTATGGATTCTGTTTTCTTTCATGCATGATTGTTCTCAAACCTGAATCCAAAAAACGATAACGATGATAAAGATGGTAATTTTACCTGAACTTTTTCATCAATCAGTAAACAGACACAAAAGTCTTCATACTATCTGTTGACTACATTTGAAAACATATATGACTTAAAACTTTCTGAATTTGAGAATCTTCTTTATTGACAGTTTAGAATAAAATTAACACAACTGTACCAATATGTATAAAATTTATTCCCGCTAAAAAAAATCTTCGCTAACTTCAATTCCTCTTTAAGACACGAGTCAATCATGTTTTTGTTGGTAAACTAGTTTGAAATGAGCCCCGAAAATCTATACTTTAGCGTGAACAAATTTTGAAGCTTATTTTTGAAAATAAAGGAAAACAATTATGACAGAAAACCAGACAAGCTAAAGTGTCTGAACATTCCGCAACAGCTCAAAACAACTAATTCTTAGGTAATTAATCTTAATGTGATTTACCTTGATTCGATAGAGCGGGCAAATACATTACTGAGAAATAACAAATATTCAAGTGAATCAGATTTGAAAGATCTGAATCGATTATCGATAGCCGCTCCCGTTGATCTTTGATCAAGACGAGAGAAAAGCGGGATTCAAAAATAACACTGTAACCTAGATTATTTAAAACATCAAACTGGCAATGTTCGTTCTGATACGCCGAAGCTAGCAAGGTTCGTCTTGATATCGTACTGTCATAGAAAATATGTGAAGACTGGGATTCCTATTGGTTACCGCCGTCGATGACGAAAAATCATAGTCCATACCAGCACGCGCATCTTGTTGATGACCGCACGTTTTACCCTAGCTAGTGTAAGAACGGAGGTTACCATTGGCCACAATGAATTGATAGCTTGTTGACCGCTACTGTTTTGGATATCGGTTATATTTTCAAATGTCAGCAACTTACAGAATGCTGCATGCAGTGCAAATTTCAAAATTGTTTTCTCGGGCATTTTTCAGCTTCATTAAGCTCATCAAAGGTCGGATCATCAATATTGTGCAAATGCTAATACTTGACATTATGTAACTGATTTGATTGTGTGAGCGTCGCATTATCTTTAGTATCATCCAAAGTCGTTGCCATTACTTGAGTTGACTATTGATTCTATCTGACCTACCACTGTGTACACATCATCTAGCTTGAGGTTTCCTACATTGCCTATTGTCTTCTGATAAAGCAATTTCATTGACTCAGCAGCAGATTACCATAGACCTCCGAACTTTCGAGCCTTTGCAAGTATAGCAGTCCATCTGATACGTAAGTATCGAACGTGTTTAGGGAGGCTGCCTATCCAGTGTTTGAGTTGTAGTAGTCTCTTTACTTGAATTAGCTTGTTTAAAGATCCGATGAATTTGTTCGATTATCGGAGAAGATCTGCTTAATGCATCCTCGCACAACCTTCCATAATTTTTCACTGCCCAAGGCTTTTGATATAGGCAAAAGGATTGCTTTGCAAAAGCAAATAAAAAAACTATTTAACACTTCAGTGGTTGATCGCCTTCTTTATTATACATTGGTCAGTTTAAATCAAACCAACATGGAGGAATGGTTTTGAAGGGTTGACAAGGATAATCTCCCATTAGAAAAATCTTTGCCCTACTATGATACCTGAAGCAAGTGATGCATTTGCCAATCACTACTCGGACCGTCGTCTTGACTCGTACGATACAGATTTGCAACAGTGGCATTCAGTTCATTGTGTACTTCGACAAGATGAGTATCGCGAATCACTTTTCTCGAGAAATGAGCGTTCTGAGTCGAGATAATCTAAAATTTTTCTCGTTTAGGCAATCAGCTGTTACCAGCCGTCCACCAATTTTTAGCATTCTATCGATGTCTATGAATGAATACAGCTAAACGAGGCTTGATTTCAGGCTAATATCTTAATCGACCGTCTTCGATTGTATTGATTTCTTCGTCAAAATACTGTCTTGAGCTCCTCGTACAAAGAGGTTCAGTATTATCTTTCAAAACTGATTGCGATCGTCAGTTTCTTTGCAACTAAAGCATTGATGCGCAGAGCTTTACCAGAAAATCCCCATCGTTGGAACACCAATACTTTCCGCTCTTTTTGCCTATCCTACGTTTAGTCGCACCTGTTTTGCTGCTAGCATTGTTTCCTCATAAAGCTGCCTGAGTGACCAGGATGGTTATGTGGAATGATCGTTGGAGCTCAATTTCCCCTTCACTTGCTTGTACAGGAATCCACTTGCTTGGACCGGTTGTACAGGATTCCAAACAAGACTGCAACCAAGAGCATCCTGACTCAAAGTCGAAAGTTTTCCAGTTCAGCTGATGCTGCTGGTTGACTAGTGTGGTAGGCTGGGTTTTGATGAGTCGGAACGCGTTTGGACTTGTTGACTGGTAGCATCTGTTTAACTTTGGCAATGCGATTGACCATGAAAGCAGAACATCTTTTTGGAGTTGATCTGATCCAAGTGAGTGCTATTGTTGAATCACTCCATGCCTTGACATCTACCACAAATTGCAAAATTTTGATTGACTTCACGACAAACCTGAAGAGTTAAAGGGTCCAGAACCATTGGACAAAGCTCAAGTCTTGGACTGCAAACTGTCTTCCTTGTTGGACGTCTTGACATGGCGGCTAGCAATTAACGTGGGGCTCCTGCGTCTGAAGTTGTCCCGGCATTGATAGCTACTCCAAAAGCCATCATCGACGTATCGCATAAAGATCTACTTGCTGAAAGCTATTCTTGGTTGAGTACCGAGGTACATCCAGGTAAGACAGAAGAAAAGCTATCCATGTTGTGTTGCAATTGGTTCGCATATGTACTTCAACATCGTCATCCGATTCAAAATCTCCGCCCATTTTTTGGAATAGAATCTTTGGCATTATAGTTACAGGGGTGACAGGTCCAAGGGGATTAAAAACTCGTCCCATGTTGCTTGCTATCATCTCCGAGTGATCGTAGGTGCTCGAATGATTTCGGACAAAGCTAATGAGTTCCTCTCAATCAATTTAAATGGACTTCTATCTGTTTTTCTTCTTTTAAGTGCGTTTTAGCAGGCCAGAGGATGCTTGGAGACCCGTGAACTTTTGCGAAAGCCTTTAAAGGAGACATCTGGATGATTCTTGTCAATGGGGCAAGCCAGTAAAGCGTGCATGTAGCTGATTTGCTCTCGATTTCTCAAAACTTGAAAAATTATTTATTGACACTGGTTCATGCGTAGTTGTTTTTTAGAAATGAAACAGCGCGATTCTAAAAATTTACTTGTTTTCCTTTTGAAACGTCCGGATTTGACCAGAGTTAGATTTGGGACCACGTGAAATCGTTTTCCTAAAATGTTCGACTCTTGACAAAATCTGGGTAATTCATCCAGCATTAGTGGGAATGCACCAGTTCTCTCATTCGCTCCTGCTTCGTTGTCATTTGGTGGGCTGAACTTGGGCACATTTTTTGACTTTTCGGCAGAAACTGGAAATGCATCAAAAAATCAACACTAGAGATTTTGACTGGCTTGATAAAATTAGCGGTGCGTGGGGCATACCTATGTGCATCACTTATACCAATTCATCCATACACCGCGATTGGAAACAATCAAAAACTGAATACCAATTGAGCCCTATGAATAAATCTACAAATTCATGTACTTTGACGGGCATATCTCTCATGCCAAGCTTGCTGTTGGTTGCCCACTTCAGAAAACGTAAGCACGCACAGTCTAGAGTGTCCGTGATATTCTGGCGTATTCCGGTGGCTTTTTTTCTCAGTATCTCAGTATAGGACTCTCAAATTGCTAGCTTTGTCAGTTCATCATTCGTTTTGTCGGCGATGTCTGACAAGCCTCGTATGGCGTGATAGCTACTAGAAGCTATACCGTAGATCAAACAAATTGAGTCAAAATTGTGTCAATTTAAGATAGAAATTTTGGCCCAAGTTTTTTCAAACAATTCGCCTTGTCTTAATTCTGATAAAATTCTTTGCAATTTTGGTTCTCTTTATTTAGTGTCAAAATAAGGTTCAAGTTGAGAAAAACTTGCTTCAAGTTTCCAGTTTTGCTAAATTGTTTGGTAATTTTGAATAAGCACTGTAGCTTAACATAATTTCAGTCCATGCAACGGCCATGGACCATACCACTACGACAATATCATTTACTCGGCAACAAGATACCATGGCGACTGAAAACAATTAAGCTGAAGTTACCTCGAATTTTCAGAATCCAGAGCCCACTGGCCGGCCTACTGTCAGTCCCGCTCTTTGGTCATTATTTTATTCTAAAAATTTTGGAGTAAGCCCTTGCTGAATTCACGGATCAATTTTCACGACAGACTATGCGTACTTTCGCCATACCGTTAAATAAACAGACATTTACAAACGTTTTAATTAATCATCAGCATTAGTTTTATATATACACCTAGGACACAAATAATTTTTGAGTTTCATGTCAAATCTGCAACTGTGTCCATCTGTCCTGACATAATCATCCTCCTTCAGATGACCTGAACTTCTTCAAGGGATCTTCAGCTAAAATAAAGATCCGCATTGCTCGTAAGAACCAGCTCTGTTTGAGCTAATTCAAAAATAAATTTTTATACCCTAGCTTTGGAGAAAAGGCTCCTCAGAAAGTATCACAAGCACTGTGGTAAGAGTACGCGTCTTGTTCCTGAAGCACAATCTGAAGTTTTCAGTTGCTAAGGACGACAATCCTAGCACCAAATAATTATTGATTTCAATACCCGTCTTTAAGAATAGAACGCCGCTGGTAGTTTATCTTTTAGCAGTACCGCGAAACTACGCAAAACTCCGGAGCGTTTCGCCTAGATCAGGTTGAAATCTCAGAAGCTAACAGTCAAGAATTGTTAAAGAACAATACAAAAGAAGCACAGATAAATACTGTTCTGCTTCTTCTTTGCGAAACCTCCTAACTAAAACATTGAACAATTTACCAGCAACCAATTCGCTTAAATCAAGCGTTAAAGTAATAACCAACAGAACGATTGATTAAGTTCGTTTTAGACAACAATTTTTTTCGTTTATTTTTACTCACATACGTTCTGAAAAGGTATCTTCTGACAAGAAGCATGTAAACGATATTTGCAGTAACTAATTGAAGAAATCACCCAACTTAAAAAAGTAGTTGCTCCTCAACCTTCCAGATCAAAAATCAAAAACTTTAAGTAACGAACCTTGCCCTAGTAATAATGAAGCTTTTGTGACCAGAATTTTTTAAAATAATTAAAACGATGAAGAATCCCTGCGATTTTCCCCAAATTAGATGATTCATGTTTTACGTCCCTTCTATCTTTGAAAACTTTGTTTTCGGATATTTGGAAGATATGCATTTGCAGCCAAAAGATCTGAGGATACAGGAACACTGAAAAAAAGGACAAATAATCTCCTCTAATATAAAGATGCAATTATGTGGAAAATAAACAATTAGACAAAAAGCGGCAAAATAAAGGACCAAAAGCGGCAAAAAACAGATGCGAGAATTCAAAGTTGCGCTTCACACTGCTTAATCAAGCGAGGAGCAATTGAGGGTCACCGCTAAAAACTATCCTGCCCTGCACCTCCTCGTCCTGCCCTGCCTGGCTTTATCTTGACCTTCATCGCGCTACCCCACCCTGCCTTGTCCCTCCTCGCCCTTCCCTGCCTTACGCTGCCCTAACTTCTTCTGCTCCTCCAGCCTTACTCTGCCCTAACCTGCCGTGCCACTCCTCGCCCTGCGCGCCATAGCTTTGCGCTGCCCTACCCTGCCTTGCTGCTCCTCGCCCTGCCCTTTTTTGCTGCTCCTCGCCCTGCCCTTCCTTGCTGCTCCTCGCCCTGCGCTGCTTTGACACCCTTCGCCCTGCCTTGTTGCTCCTCGCCCTGCCTTGCTGCTCCTCGCCCTGCTCTGCCTTGCTGCTCCTCCCATGCCCTGCCTTGCTGCTCCTCGCCCTGCCTTGCAGCTCTTCCCCTGCCTTGCAGCTCTTCCCCTGCCTTTCTGCTCCTCGCCCTCTCCTGCCTTGCTTCTCCTCGCCTTCTCTTGACTTGCGCTGAAATATTCCGAAAGCACTGCAATATACCAGAGAGCTTAAACGTGCAAAATTTTGTTCATTTCTGAAAGCTTAACCAGGAGACATATGGTATATATTAAACAAGGGGAGATAGACAGTCGCATTTAAATATATGATAGACGTGGAGCCGTTTGTATCACTCAAACGATTAAAATACCTTTCTTCAACTAAATGTTCGAGAAATCATCACCAACTACGAACTCTATAGAAAACCAACTAAAACGTAAAAACCTTCAAAAAACTGATAAAATCTGCTGAAGAAAAAAAAAACAGTTTTTCTGTTACCTGACCCATTAATTTTTCTGATGCTTTCTCAACTTCGAAAAATTATCATTGAGTTTGAGATTAACTTTAGATCGCATGAATAAATTCACATTTTAATCCGAGAAGACAAGTACTTCTGAACAGATATTTTAATTCTACATAATGGCGAATCTACACATTGGAAACAAATACAAAAGATTTGTTGAATGAACGATACTAGTTATTCTGCCGCTTGCGTTGAATTGGCGTGAAAAATTCTTTACATTCATGCTAGCAAATGCACTGTGGAGGTGTCGTGTAAACATATTTCAAAGTGAGAAAACAACGGTTTTAGCATGTGAAAAACAAGCATGAACACACATATTTTTGTTGACTAAAGCCTTTTCGCAAGTACTTTTTCACGCACTCTCGAAATTAATTCCCCATACTGGGGCCTGACGGCCCTTTGATAGTGAATTAATTCCCTCTTGCATGGAAAAAAAACAGCTGCAAGACTCCTACTACTGAACAATTCCCGCAAAAATATACAATATCAGATGCACTTAATTGACAAAAAGCAAGAGTAAATCAAAGCGCTTTTCAGTGACAGAAATAATAGCTTGAATAAAAAAAAATCAAAAGGTTTCGAAAATCGGCAGACAAAAAAAACGATAATACGCCAAATAGTTGCTCGAAGAGATTCATTATCAATTTGTAAACAAAATCGGCGTCTGGTCGAAACCACGACTTTTGTCGCCCCAAGCATGGAGGGTACCTCCACGCTCGACGTGCAAAAAAGCCGCAGCTGGATATACTATCAAAGTAAGCCGAGGAATTCAGTAGAAGACTACTGTGACAAAATTTAAAACAAGAAAAATGGTTCTGCCCGCTTCCAACATGCTTCCTAATCGCTTGAGTGACACATTGCGAACAAAAATGAAGAAAAATTTCGATGAACTTTTGATTCGAAAGAGGAAAAAGAATTTAGCCTACTTTTTCATAAAACTAGCCACATTAGAATTTCATAAAACCAGCTCAACTTGATAAGATCTATCAAAGAATTCCAAAGTCAAAACGCACCGCGAAAAATCCAATTTACAAAACAAAAACAAACCACAAGACCATAAAAATTGTCACAAAGCCTAGCAAGTAACAACGATTCAAAAAAATTTTACAAAGCTGAAACTCGGACAAAAATTTTTTATAGACCTTGTAGATATTTTTGTAGACTCAGACGCACAAAATTTTCAGCTGTAAAAAAACTTGAAAAGCATTTTTCAAGACCTCATGAAACACACAAAAGGATAATAATAAATTTTTTCATGCACGCTTGCAAAAGCACTGTGGAGGTTGAAAACATGTTTTAAAGTGAGAGAACAATTGTTTTAGCATGAGAAAAACAAACATGAACACATAAATTTTCCGTTGACGGAAGCATTTTTGCAGCTTTTTTTTCATGCACGCGGGAAATTTAATCACTATACTCGGGCCCGGCAGCCCTCTGATAGTGAATTAATTCCCTCGTGCGTGAAAAAAAAACAGCTGCAAAACATCTACTATATAACAATTCCCGTAAAGTATACAAAATCAGATCAGCTTAATTGACAAAAAGGGGAAATTAATCAAAACACTTTTCAATTGACAGAAATAATTGCGTGAATCAGAAAAATTTCAAGCTTTCGAAAGTTAGCAGACCAAAAAAAACGAAAACCGATAGTACGCCAAATACTTGCTCGAAGTAAATCATTATCGATTTGAAAACAAAATCGGCGTCTGGTCACAACCGAAACCACGACCTTTGACGCCCCAAGCATGGACGTTACATCTATGCTTAAAGCGCAAAAAAAATAGCCGGAGCTGGATATACTATTAAAGTGAGCCGAGGAGTTCAGCAGTAACAAAATTTAGGACTTGAAAAATCCTTCTACCAGTTTCCAACATGCTTCCTAATCGTATGAGTGAAACATTGCCAACAGATAAAAAGAAAAATTTCAATGAATATTTGATTCGAACGTGATCCAAAAAAGGCAACTAGCCGACTTTCTCATCAAACTAGCTCAACGAAAACTTCATAACACTAGCCCAATTTGATTTGAACTATCAAAGAAATTCGAAGTCAAAACGCCTCGCAAAAAATCCAATTTACCAAAAAAAAACATACAAGGCCACAAAAAAAACTATGCTTAGATACCGCAAAAAAAAAAAATTTTAATGAGAAGAGAAAGTCTGCAAGTTTTGACATTTGTTTCTGAAAATACCTGTGTCAGGCTGATTTATTTTCACGCCCATTATCCGAAATTAATTTTCATTTTGACCTCATTGGCTGTAAAAACACTGAAACTTTCTGATACTAACACATTAACTTGCCAATTTATATGAATGAACTCGAAATTTTTAAACTGAACTGAGCTAAGTCACCGTGTCGTTTGCCGCACGGTTCTTATTAGCTGAATTATACACTTTAATTCTCTCGCCAAAAATTTGCAGATGATTAGTCTCTTCTATGCGGAATTTTCAACGGAAAAGATTTAAAATGTGCTATAACCTGATTGATTTTTGTGGATGCATGCTACGTTGGCCACTTGCACTTCGCTAGAAAAGGACTTGACTTCTCCTCATTTTCCGGTTCCAATAATTTTTTGAACTTCGCTCGCAACATTGAATCTGAAAATTTACAATGCATAACAACTTCAAGCTCAACAGTAAAGCCAAATGGTTATTACTACGATATGGTCGCCTATGGCCATTACTCTAGCATCTTGATGTATTTAGCACATGGTCATGCAATCTGGTATTCAATATTTGTATTCATCACCTAAAAAGATAAACACAAAAAGTTAACAAATACTGCGGCTAATTGCTGCTATAGTTGAGTAATTCCTGGTCGAGGTCAACTTCTTTAACTTCAGAAATATATCTAGCTGCGTTGTATCGAAAAGCCACGAAGGCATTTGAAACTCTCCGCCTTAATAGTTTCTGGCGTCCAACTTTGATGTCGCAGGAGGAGGAGATGGAGCATTGACAAATGGCCGAAGAACAAGATGCAAAAATAAACGAAATTAGAAGAATTTAGAACTTCTAAACGACGAAAAAAGAAGAAACAAAGAAGTGACGAAAGAGAAGAAGTTAAAACTCAGAATTGTTTTGTGTGAAAACTCAAGTGAGAAACTAAGCAACCAAGTTGTAATTGAAACTGAAAGAAAACATTTTAGTTGAGTTTTGAACATTAAAGAATATGTTGCATTTATAAACTTGTATTTTGATTTTAGTTAGTGGCTCTAGAGACACTTACTATTTATTTAGAAAGGCTTGGGTAAAGAGTATATTTACATATTCTGGACTGCATGATTGTTTTTAATCAACAAGGGCAACTGATCACTTTGTGGTGACATGAAAAGCTTGGGTAATTTCTTGAAGAGGGAGATTGTTTCATTGTTCTTTCTAACCACAGAGTTCCTTAATTTCAATATTCAGGACCAATAACAACTAAAATTTCCGAAGGGAAGAAGCATAGTAGTATAATTTTAGCTTGTTGGTTGGCAGGACTGTCCTGCAAACTAACACCTTTTAAAACCTAGGAGAAAAAGTTTTAAATCAGGGCATTGACGTTGGAAGTTAGAAAAAATGTTTTATCTTAGGTCATATCCTCAAAGCGGGGATTGCAATATATTGAATGATCAGATATTGAATATCGAGACGATGTCAATATTGATTTTTTAATATTGAGATATTGAAGGCTAGATATTGATATTGATATTGAATTTTTTGTAGATATTGAGAAAAACGGATTTTGTATCATTGCTTGAAACGTGACGTTTTAACACATACACATAAAACAAATGTTGATAAAAAGTTTCTGAAATGTGAAAGAGCCTACATGAACTAAGTCAAACAGTCAAACAAACAACTCAATTCACTCAAGCATTAAAATTAAACAAATTAAACAAAAAACATATAAATTGCAAAAAAAACTAAACAAATTTAATTATATATTTCGAAATTCAATATTGAATTTGGTCTCTGGTATCTTAAAATAGTGATAATATTGAGATATTGAGCTTTTAGATATTGATATTGATATTCATATTGAAATTTTATCCTATTTGATATTGATATTGATATTGAATGGAAGATATTGATATTGAGCTCAATATATTGATATTGTATTGAAATCCCTGCCTCAAAGTGCAGATTAGTGAAAGAATTTGGAAGGCTATAGTAGTGTAGTATGATGCCATTTATATTCTGCAGTGAGTCGATATGACGTGGATAAAAGTAATTTCGTGCAATTTGTAAATTCTTGTGACATTCGACCAGAATGTGAAAAATGCAATCTCTGCAGAATTCGAATTTTTAGCAGCGAGCCTTCCGGATTGATGATTATTAAGAATTAAGAACGTTATTGGAACGATTGGCCAAACGGTGAGGGCTAGAATATTCTGGTATTTTAAAATTTTAAAAATTCGAAGTGATGACGTAACATTTCTGAGAAACGTCAGAAACGGCCATTTTGGCAAAGAAGTAAAAGAAAAACACAAGAACAACATTAGCTGCGCTAACAACAACTACGGAATTGAGATTGAAAAACGACAGCGAGTTACAGAGTAACAGAGAACACTCCGAGTTGCAACTATTGTACTGCTACAATAGTTGCAGGGCCGTTGCAGACAACGGTGAAGGGTGAAAGACGGCCTTCCGGATTAAGGGGAAATCAGGATTAACGAGCTTGATCCAGCGGATTCATCAATCCGGAAGGGTAAAGGAACTGAAACTTTTATCCTGTTACGTAAACTTTTAGCTTCCTGTCAGGTCCTGACTTGAATTTAATTGATATCCAGATTCATTTTGATAAAGATGAGAAGCTAGGAGTTGGGGGAAAGGGTTGATCCATCTTCGATGGAGATGATGATTTTTATCTACTGAACAAAAACAATAGTAATATAATAAGTAGTAGCCCTGTTTTTAGGAGTGACCTCGTGGTCTAGGGATACTGAGACCCAGCCATGAGCTCACTGTTTCTGCATGTAATCTAGTTAATTTGAGTGTTTTGACCGAAGCCGAAAGCAGTAACGTTTTTGTCGACCCGATGTTAGAAAGACCACCGAAAAGTACTGGCTTGGTAGAGACGGTGAAAAGCATGCAAAGCTCTGTTTAGACGTTAGCCAGTCGTCTTAAGACTTAGTTTTGTCTTCCGTCGATATGTATCTTCCGAGCGAATGTTACATAGATGTTTTTATGGCGCTCCTGGGTGTTATTCTTTTTAACATCATGACCGGCAGAACCGTTAACGAGCACTCCGCGCCGAGCGGATGCTCACATTAACGCCCTTAATAGGCCTAAACCGCCGGGGCGGAAGGGTAGTTCGGAACGCGGAAGCCTTCCGGATTACCGTGAATAGTTTTTTAACCTAGTTAAGACCGAAAATTCACGAACCAGGAAGGGTGGGGGGATTCGCGGTCCCGTCATTTCCTGAATGGTCCGTGACCAAAAACACTTAAAGATATATATAAAACCAAACAAAAAGTAGTATAGTACCCAAGAAATACAAAAAACATAAAAAATAACCGAAAAAACCAAAAACAGTAAAAAAAGTAAAAAATCAGTAGAAATCATCCCCCCAGACAAGATGTGATCCGACCCCCCCGTTTGTTGTTGATAGATATATTGTTGTTACAGGCATTTGTATCAGTCAGGATCGTTACGATCAGTTTTGTAGCCCGTTTGTGAGGCTTGTACTGTAGGGTTATTTGAGCATTTAAGCACGTTAATGATAAATTGCGCTCAATCCGGAAGGGTCAGCTGATTTGCGCTCAATTCGGAAGGGTCTTGGGAGAAGACTGATCCGGCAAGCAGTACAAGGAGCAACAAGAAGAGGCTCAACGACAACAACAATCGACTGTTGGGTATCGTTAACAAGTTTTGTTTCCCTTTTGGTACAAAAGTTAAGATAGTAATCTGTGGAAGGCTCGACAGTGCTGCACTGTAGTGACCCTTCACCGAACTGCGAATATCCGAGTTAAGCACCTTAATTCGGATATTAAACAAACCCGGAAGGATATAGTATTACTATTATTATTACTTATAGAGCCTATATTAATAGTCTTATATCGTTTTCAGTGAAAAACAACGAAAACAGACCGGTTTTTAGGGTCAAAATAGCGATATTTTGATCCCCCCACAAGTCGCGATTTTTGAGATATCGATAATTTTCGAAACGAAAAAAAGCGCTAAAGTAGTGTGTTACATCGTAATTGCACTACCATAATAGATAGAACCGGTTGATTTTAGTTCGGAAGTGGTTGGAACTATTTTGGAACCAAAAAACCGAATTTTCGTGATTTTTGAGAAACCGAAACACTAAAAATTCAGAAAATTTTTTGAAATTTTTGAGTTAGAACAGTAAAAATAGTTGTTCGGACAACGTCCACTAGTGAATCTACAAGTTTTAAAATCCGCTACCCGAAAGCCTTCCCGGTTGCAGAGTAATCGAACTTAACGTGTTTGATTTGGTGGATTCATCAATCCGGAGGGGTACAGGTAGCATAGTTTTTTGCAAATTTTTTCAACTAAAGCGTTTTAGATCGGGTCTTTTGCATTGAACTAGAAGAGTATAGGCCTTCTAAGCTCGGATCAATAATTTTTAGGTCGAAAGGACCTGATTTGCGGAAAAACTTAGGCGGAACCTATAAGAGAGAAAAATTTTTGAGTTTAGGAAAAAGACGTTTTGGTTAATAACTTTGGAACTACTGGGCATATTGAGTTGATCTTGGTGCCAATAGATCAGAAATTAGCTGAGCTTACTGATAGGGACAAAAGTTTTTCGGAAAAGTAAGCGTGAAAATTTTTTGAGATTGTTTTTAGCAAATTCCTCAATTTGGAAGGGTACACCCTTCACGTTTTACAAAAATCTTTTAGAAAAGCCCCTATACCCCTAACAAAAGGTAATAGCGGTTGAATAAAGTAACTTTAGGCTGTTCTAGACGAAAAGGGAAGGCTAGAGGCACAGCAAAAGCTTAAGAGAGCCGAAGTTAGGCGAGCGATAAGACCCTTCACCGTTAGTGTGAATTGTCAAATAAGAGGCTTAACTTCAATCCGGAAGGGTCTAGGAAAGTAGTGCATACCCTTCCTAGTTAATTGAAAGAGCAAAATTGCATCGGAGAACGTATCCGGAGGGGTATAGGTTGAAAGAAGGAAATCTCCGAAAAGCTACTTTTCCCAATCCGGAGGGGTCTAGATTCTGCCAGTCCGGAAGGGTCCTATTTGTGTCAATCCGGAGGGGTATTATTTTATTAAAGAACTTAGGTAGACGAAAGAAAGACTAAAAAGTGAGAGGTATTAGGTTATTAGCACACAAGCTAGCTATCAGTGACTGCACTGGTAACTTGCCTTTCAATAAGAACCAGACCAAAACAAAACAGATCCGAACTCGGATATTCGCGACACTAAGTCTACATTAAAAAGAGCGCGATTCATTGGTGTGGATTGTAACATAATACGTTTTTGGGAAAAGTGACTGCCCTGAGGATTTTAGTAGGTCTAGCTCGGGCAGTCCGAAGGCAGATAGGTAACACAGTACTCGGTGGGTGCAATAGCCGCCCACTTGAGAAAATTACTGCCTTCAAAGTTTTGTCTGTTTGGTGCAACACTGAGAAGGGAAAGC